AAGCTTAGGAAAACGGCATTAACAATGGTGATGATGATGATGATGATGATGATGATTAAGATAACGATAAATAGGGGACCCGGAGAAGTTGGATGACACCGCAATGGGGCAACAGTTTTCACATAAAGAAAACGTGATAAGATAAATACGGAACACATAAACGACGCGGCAATACCGTCGTGGTGACCTCAACACCAAAGATTATAACGACCGCCGAGACAACACTTTGCAAATCACGCTTATCCGAACCAGTTGAGTTGAGTGTACTGGCGTCAGCCAACGTATCAGACGTTGTTAAAGTCATTTTGTACTTTTACTTGTCGTCGCAAAGGTCTTGCCCCTCTCGTAATCTTTCCTGCGCGCCTTTTTGCTGTCCGATCTTGTGTATTTTTCTAAGGAGTGTGTGTATTTGTTTCGAGTAATCCCACCACGGGTACGTCCAGCCAGATTAACATGAACGTCTCACAGGTAATTGGGCATTTCTGTTAAGAGTGTTTCGCAACAGAAGTATAGGTGAGGTAAGAATGATTCTACATCCCTGTTTCGATCTTCTTCACCGAGTCGTGCGCCTGCAATGAGCTTTAATCCGTCAGAACAACCTGACCGACGCATTGAGTTAGCTCGAAGTTACAGACAAATAGCTCACTCAAGGAACTGAGTTTGGTCGTGAAACAGGCTTCATTGCAGAACCGCAGACACGATCTGGTTCGTAAATTTACGAACGAGCTCAGCTTAGATACACTTCATCGCCGGTTCGCAAATAAGCACTACGGCGTATACCTCGCCGGCAATACAAGAACGTTACTGGAGACGTGAAGTATCGAAAACTGAGCGAATAGTAGATCTCGACGTATGGCTAGCACAATTAATCGAAATTTTGTGTCTAGAAATTGGCTACTTTCGGCTATTGATATTTCGAGAACTACGCCAACGATGATGTTGCAAGCAACGGAAAGTATACGAGCTGCTTGTATAGTTAGTGTAAATGCACTACTCACAGCAGGAACGAAACAATCATAGATTGTATCTGTTGCTTGACGCCGGTACAGGAGCCGCTACACTCATGTCGTAGACGAACTGCTGTTGGCTTCCTATGGTGGCAGTTTCTTTTGGAGACTTCTTTTCTAGTAACAGCCACGATTCAAGTTCTTCAGTTCCCAGCCCACAGTCTGCCACGACCGCTGGCATATGCATTGGAGTGGCAGTATGTCGTATCGTTAGCTGTGTCGGGGTGCTCAGCTGAGCCCTGCTATGGTTATCTCGACTTCTCCCAATTTTTCGTAGCTCCTCTCCGTGCGTTCCTTCCACATTTAGCCGCATCTGCCTGGGAGCCTATAGTCTATCACAGCGCGACCCTCGTCTCCTAGGCGCAGCCGGACGTAGCTTGGAGCTGGCGGGAGTCGCCAATGGTACCACGAGCATCGCGACGGGTGGTAGACACATGTGCCGAGGTCAGTGTACTACCGAAAGCAGTGCCAGCAATGTGCATGTGTATATGCCGGCGATAAGGCTAGCTGATGCCGCAACACGACAATGAACGCGATGTACTCATGATGATTCGCTGATGCTGGTCGCGACAATGTCCGCCTCTTTGGACGGTAATGTGTCCCACGTTTTTGCTGTATTCGTCGCTGCAGCTACTGAATAAAACGAAATGAAACAACCACGACCACGACGACGACGACGACGACGACGACGACGACGACGACGACGACGACGACGACGACGACGACGACGACGACGACGACGACGACGACGACGACGACGACGACGACGACGACGACGACGACGACGAGGAGGAGAAGGAGGAGGACGACGACGACGACAACAAAATAAAACAAACGACAATACAGTAGCAAACATGGCGGCAGTGACCGCAACGGCGAGATGGCCGAAACAAAGAAAAGCTGAAATTGTCAGAGGCGCGTACATTAAAATTTAAATCAACTCAGGCAGACCATCAACGTCTCGAGATCAGTGACAGCGAGATACGTCACCAGCTTGTGTTTGCTCTCTCGTTTATCTGTGTGTTTGGCTGCAGGCTTAGGTTAAATTACAGTAACAAGCGCTACTAGCGAGTACGAGAATTTAAACAATAACAATTAATTTCATCCTGACGAATAGCCCACTCATAAACCGCGATTAAAATCAACTGCTTGATACGATAATATATTATAAGTAGAAAGCCACAATGTCATAAACGAGATAATAGAAAGAAAACCAGTTAATAACAGTTCGAGTTAATAACTATAACAGTTATTAAGTTGTACTATTATATATACATTTGCAATTTTCGTACGTCAAACTTAATAACGTTTACAGTTATTAACTGGAACTGATATTCGAACCAGCAATATATCGGTGGGAGATACAATTAGACCACGACGAGTGGAAGTGTAGCTGGATGTTTTTTCTTTTTTACTATGGATGAGATGAGACCAAGAAACCTTGGTGTTTTGATAGAACATTATTTCGTCTCAATTACGGTAGCTTTCTGGAAGAAGATGCGTTCGATCCCAAATCTCCGTATAACTCTACAGTATATTCGAAAGGGCCGCAGTTACGTTTTCTGTAAGAATCGCGCCCGATTCTTTTAAGCGTCCGAAGTTTTAAGAGAGACGATAGCGTTATTACTATTTCCTCAGTTGTTTTCCCAGGGTTAGTTGGCAAACGATTAATTTTTCTAGAACTTTGGCAAAAAGCGGGTCTTGGCGCCATTTACAGTGCTCCATAAATACGGATTATGCAGGTGCCACTGCATTGCCTCTGTGTATCATATGTATGTATATTATACACACATAATGATAAATTACCTCTCATTCCGGAAATTATTGAAAATTGTTAGCGTTTTCTATCTAAAAAACTGTAATCTATTCTGGCCAATCTCTCTCTCTCTCTCTCTCTCTCTCTCCCTCTCTCTCTCTCTCTCTCTCTCTCTCTCTATATATATATATATATATATATATATATATACTATACATTCTGTATAGATTTGGTTTTGTCATTGCCTCTGATTTTCTGAGAGTGATACCTATGCAGTGTCGCTGCATTCACTGCCTAGATGCCTCCGTTGTCCTATAATTACATTGTATATCATAACAACACGTGTGGGTCGTAGAAGCTACCGTGGGATAGCGATTAACATAGCGCTAAGCCAGAAGGTATCAACAAAGGACAACTGTTAGAAGAAGGAACACTCCGAGTGTCTAGTAAATGTTAAAAAGAACTAAATCAGCGGGAAGGCTTATTCCTAGGTTAATTTAACGCTAAAGAACATTTTGGTTATATGTACAACACACGACTCCCCTCAAGCTTATACTCAGACATACACAGATATCGCATAATGGCTCGTATATCATCTCCATATTATCTCTCTATATATATATATATGTGTGAGCAAAAAACGGTAGCAGACAACTGGGCTATACCAGTGTGGCACTATTGCTGATACTGAATGCTCTGCTCATAGTAGCCCCTTGCTCAGCGGGATGTCCCCTTTTATCAACGATGTTAATATGGATTTACACTCTTGTCAGAGTGTCCTGTCATTGGCGCGGCTTGGCACTAGTTGATCCTACGCAGAAACAACGACGACGGAGTCGACGTAAAAAGCAACAGCAATAGAAACTAAGCTATGAGACTATTGGATCGGTGTTTGACAACTGGTCGCGTTCTATGCGCCTAACTAGTCAACTGTTCAGTCACGACAACAGTCGGAATAGAGAGCGACGGATGGCCTGCAAAAGATTTCTGCAGGTGGTTACGTTACTGAAAAGCAATATCGCGACTGTTTTGCGTCGTCGGTGTTTGCGTCCTCTGTGACATGCAGATAGCGAAGATAGCAGGTATTAGAGCTTTTCCATTTTCGGGCTCTGTTGTTCGTCATCGATAGTTGCCAGAGTCGCCAATAACAGCCTAGCTTTGTCATCACCACGAAGTATTTGATGGCTGATCTTCAGCTATCTCTATAGATACAGTACGCGTTGCACTGCCGCCGCTATATAGATGAAGACTGTTGACTGTAACGCTGCAACATAACTAAGTGCTAGATGAAAAAAGTAAATATAAACAATGAATAGAGCATTATTGACGGGTTTGAATGACGTTGAATTGGGGGGGGGGGGGGGGGGGGGGTTCTAGTTCAAGTCTTGCCATTGACGTACGTGGACTGTGTGTGGGTGTGTGTGTGACTAATACAAAAAAATGTTGTGAGCTTTTCGGGATGGAACAAAATTTGACCCTTCGAATACGTAATGTCCTGTCGTAAAAGGGATTTTGATATTTTAGGTGTTTTACGAGTCACTGGAAAAGATCACAATGTTCCATGTCCTGTGCATATTTTTTGAAACGCGCGAACACAGCGTCAACGTGCTAAAGAGACATCTGTTTGTATCGATCTCTTTTGTGCATGTCGCTTTTTTTCGGTCAAAATCATTTTTCACTATGGTGTAGTCAGTCCCAGAGCAATACGACCCTTTTTACGCTTGTCCTGCTAATACCGTTCTGTGTTTTATATATATATATATATATACTATACGAAAATGCTTTCCATGAGGTAGAACAAAAAAAGAAAAATTCATTCTATGTGTTGCAATACAAAATCTAAGTCAGTCGAACAGCGAGCGATGCCATTGGGCTCAGTATATCAATTCTGCCCAATGTTCGTGAATGTCCCATGCAAAGCACCTAGAATCACCCTTCTGTGAGATCAGCCAACACCAACCCATCAACGACAGTTGTCCCAACACTACTCAATGGGGTATTCTCAAGAGAATCGGTGGCCACGTCGGCCAACGACTTGAAAATTTACTGAGATCTATTGTGTTTCCACGCACACCGCATATCGTATCCGTTATGGCTCTTTTAGCAAATATATACAAATGCTACGTTCGTGGCAAGTCACCATTTTCCATTTGTATCTAGCCGATAGCTGACTGGAGGCAACAGAATCGTTCAAGCGGCACCGTAGCGTAGGCAAAAAGCTTAAGTCGGCAATTCTTTCTTTACGAAACCAAAAGAGAAATACACCCCACAGGCAATCCACAAAATCGGCATCACCTAAAATTTTACCTAATTTTCAAGGGCCTGACAAAAACCGAGTCTCCTATCCAAAATAAAGCTTTATTGATGATGATGATGATGATGATGATAATCTTGATTATATCAATTCTTGCTAGCGTAATAGTAAATGTTTCGAATGATGGATTGATTTTTGATTACGGCAAACAATAACGGCGATACACAAACAAAGCACAGGGCAGCTGGACCGACGTAACGGTCCGATTCCATACCTAGACGAACTAGTTTCCTTCTTGATGTTGCCGAGGCGGTCGGCCAATGTCGGTCATTTTTATGGCCATCTTACTGTCGCCGGCGCAACTGCTGTTGTCCCCAGTTCGGTTGAGCTTCTTAAGCGCGACTTCTTTTATTGGTGATTTAGCCCCAGACTGTGCGGCAAGCGCTGACCTACCCGCAAAACAAAGCGACGACTTGGCCACGTACCCCGTCCCTACGATTATGACAATGTTTGACTTGTCCTACGAGTCGAAACGGTTTTGAAGGTGTGCCGCACGGTATCGTGAACCGATCTGGTGAAAAAATGCCGTCAAACCAATAGACAACGAACCGACAGAATCCATGAACGTGAACGAGGGCTGATTGAAGCTATCCTACAAGAAACACATATATGTAACTTATTTTACTGTGTACGATGTTTGTTGGTTGAACTCGAGATGGATGACTTCGATATTTTACGGAATGACTGTCAGATAGGGAATAGTTGTGTCGTCTGGTAGAATTGGTCGGGCGAATTGGTGGTGCCTACTCGCGTCAAAATAGGGTTGATGTCATTATCACGACGACGATCGGCTACGGGACGGCAGATAGGCGAACGGCTGAAAGCACACGGCGAAAACCAGAGAGCGAAGGAGATAAAACGAGAATGGAGAAATATTCATTCACGGTCACAACTAATGGAATTGGCATCATACACTTGCAGAAAAGATGTAATGGCCGGCATTTCTGAGCTAACGGCTTTGTCGCAATGATAAGCATAGAGTCATCGAAATAACGACTGGTCACAACTACCTCGACACCAAGTATTTGTTACACCGATCCCGTAGTCAGACACAGGAATTAACATATTGTTCAGGTGAGCCACTCATTTAGACTGTGCATCGACGTTTGGAAAAGCTAAAAATCCATTTTCGGAGACAATTGCCGTCCTATAGCGTAGCATTTTTCGAGCCGACGTCAGCGAGCCTTCTGTATAATTTACGAAGCTTCAAATCACGTTTAATTACTACTTACAGAACTTATAAGAAAAACAGACAGTTCGGTAGTTTTGGAACTTCTAAACGGGACCTTAATTTCGGAGGAGGAAGAGACAATAGTGGAAACAACAACAACAAAGGTCCCTTTTTTAACTTACTTTGTCCCGTATTGATTTCAATAACGCAAAAGAAAGTTATGCTATTTGCTAGCTTGCTATGGGAATTCTAGGTGTGAATTAACGTCGTCAGTTGTCTTTTCTAGGTTAGGTTAGGTTAGGTTAGTACGTACGTAAAGTGAACGGAACATTTCTATCGACGTCACATCTGGCCACCAGTTACCGATCCCAACACCTTGCACCAGACAATACCAGTTATGTTGAGAGTAACAACTACTGTAATAGGTCTATATATGTCTTTATTTCAGTCTTCCGTTTTTTCGGGAACGGCCTAACGAGCCGGTGACTGGCAGTTAACTCAGAAGCAGGACGTCATTGCTAACTTCGACTCATACTATCATCTATTCACATAAGTAACAGAATATTTGCCATTACTTTATTCGTGGTGTTATGTTATATATATACATAGGCTGGTTTCCAAAAAGGCTAGGTTTTGTGTTCGTACGGTGCCTGAAGGCGAGTATATGATGGCAAGGGATAGCTTCGGCTAGAACGGCGCGTTCTGTTAAATTGTGCCGACGTATCAGATACATTTCATACTTATTCCTCCACTTTACTGGTGTTGCTGTATATGTTTGTGCTTTAAAAGTTTTCTGGTTTTACAGCCAACTATTAACATAAGTTACAAGGCACACGTGGCTACATTCGTGCTTCTCCAAAAGAAACGTCCAATCGGCAGGTCAGCTTCTCCTCTGTATGCTTTAAATTCGAAAATTTACCAGAAGACAAAAAAGACCACATCTCCTAGATCCTGTTTAATAAAGTATGCATATTCAATACGCTTTACCGCAAAGAAGTCATATTTCTTTTACTTCATCTTGTTTTGCTACCTAATGTCGAAATACCGCCAGACATTCAAACGTACCAGTTCCGTTTCGAATTAGCTATAATCGTTGACTAAAGCGCCACCTGCGCCCTTTTTGCTATTGGACAGCTTTTATTTTAATTCTACTAATTCTATTTTAATCTTTACGCGAGATAAAAAATTAATTCTTTTTCTAATAGAAATAACATCGAACAGCAGCCAACAACACTCGTAACTTAAGAGCTGTTTTCCTAATAAAGTTTAAATGTGGGGCTATTTTGGTATTTGTGAACCATTGTGGGGCATTTTTTCGAATGGGCCACAAGTTGCTGGCCTCCATTCACGACCAATCAAACCAACACGCTCTATGGGAAAAAATCTGTCTGTTCTCTAGGGGCAAAAATATCTGTTAAATAGGTTCGATATTCCGTGCAGATTTTCGCAACATGAAATTGGCCAATAAGCACAATCCAAGTGGAATTAGCTTGGACAAACCCACGAACCTATACTTTTACTAGTAGAATAAATATATGGTACAGTGTCTCCATAGCAATATATTCTAACGTATATCGTAACATATTCGAGTGGACGCCAAAGAGATAACTGGAAGCTTTGCTGGATCTAATTTAGCACGAAAGGGCGCTTATTTTAATTATTAACGGATTTTCTAATGATTGCTAAGCTCCATTTTCTTTAAAGGTCAGATTCGGACGCTGCGTTTGGCACTCTTCTTTTTCACTATCAAGAAGCCACCGCTGTGTTTTTCCTCCGCTAAATTCAGCAAAGACAACATTTGTCTTCTTGCCTTACACCGTCATCGACAACGAAGCTTCTAGGGAATCGTGATACTGTCAACAATAACAATCAGCCGCACGGTCAGTCATAAGAAGACTGTTAACAGATTAGTGTGAATCGGCAAATTGTAGAAGGGTGGAGCCGGTCTGTCCTTCTAACTGTTCCGCTTGTTTCACGATTCGTATGTTTAGCATTATAATAAACTCAATGGTCGTGGCGTAATTTGGGAGCGGCCTATCGTTTACGCTACTGGCTGACTGATTTATTTCACGTCCAGTGACACCTATTGCTCAAGGCTATAGCATCCGATTGCTTACTGCCAGTGTATTACGAACGAATAAACTCGTATCTTCAATTCACGTATACTTCGTCCTTGCGAAGATAGGAGCTTCATTCCCATAGGAAATCCTAAACGTTTCGTGCGTGTGAATTGGTAATAATTGTCTTTTAGTAATTGAACCGCAGGCAAATTAATGGACACATCCTACCAATGTCTGCGCTGTAGCGTATTCTGAGCATATGCCAAAGTGTGTTTGTATAAACTTTTGAATGAGTTCACTCGTGAGGAGCTTTTGCCTACATCTTCTCATTCATAGTAGATAGCGACCCGCATCTCACCGGATAGCTCTCCTCCTGAAGTGTTCTTCTTCTCCTCTATCGATTAGACTAGGAAGGCCAGCTTCAACAAGTGTACCTGATACTGGTGCATCGCATTTAGTTTAAAAACGTTACGCTTTAAACTTGATCTGGCTACGTTACAGCAAAACTTCGGTATGCGAAGCCTCGGATTGTCCATGTTTTTCTCTTCCTCCGGACAAACTGACGCGTGTCGCTAATCAGCCGTATTTTCATCTGTTCATTTGAACATTAGCGTGATGGGAAGCGGGACGAAAGCTCGATTGACAAACAAGGATGGTCGAAACAATCAATTTGGACGAACCGCTCCCGAGCAAGTCAGGCCGAAGGAGCAAGCACATGCGAGTAACTTGCTTGTTTGACCGGCCTCAGTCAACGTACTTGCACCGAATTTTCAGATCGAAACAGACGACACTGGGAACGCGCTGTGTTACGAGGCATCAAGGAGGATTTATGGAACCGCATCTCCTAATAGGCGCAATGCTTACCGTTACTGTACAAGTAACATGGCGTAGAGCAATCAGGGCCGAGTTAAGTGCTCGTCGTCCCACTCCTCACAGAGGAGAATTAAATACATAAAAAAAAGACGTTTGCAGGCCGAAAAGACAGATATATGATCGGCATTGGCATATTCAGTATGACATCGGATATATGGTACTGCATTCGTACGTAAGCCTCTATGTAGAGCTGTATATATCTGAAGCGGGGTGAAGTCTGGTAGTAATAGTTCTCGTCTCAAATCACTGGAGTAAAGTTTTACCATACGCAAAACAAGCATCTTTGTATGAAAACCATATCCGTGTACAACTAACCAAAAGTTCACTCATCTTGGAACAGCTATCTTTTTAGGCGCTCACTTCGGCAGCGACTCACTCGATCGAGGAGGCTTATCAGCCGGGCCACGACAGGTCTATTTGAAAGTGTTAGGCGAGTCCCCACTGATTTGATTTTCCAGTAATACTGATGTGATATTTTCTTCGAAAGAGCACACGATCCCCTACTCAAAGTTTGACTCAAAATTGCGACAAACAGAGGCTGGTTGCGGTACGTCGTAGCCATCAGTTACCCCGTCAACTTCGATTGGCAGATGACTCGTCTGTAAAAGTATATGGTTTTCTATGCGCTGCCGGCTGAGGTTCCGCTGTATTGCGTCTCCTAAATGATGCAACGATAGGCCTTCCATGTTACCATCGTGCTTTTTAGCGTCGTATGAGTACGTTGACAGTCGTTAATTGTGCTACAAGGCGGTAAAATGATTTGCTGATGTTAAGGACATCATGAGATTTTAGTCGCAAGGAACCGGGTTAGGGGTTGTTTTTATTGACGATTCAAAGATTTGTGCCGCTAATTCTAAACGAAATAATAATATATAAAATACTACGAAATAGGTGGGCCACGTGGAAAAAGGAACATTACATTTCTTCCGCTCGTAGCGAATAGCACTTCTAGACTTCGGTAGTTGCAAAAGTAAAATCAATAGACAGCTATAGGTCAAGGAAACGTCACACTTTGAGAAGACTGAAATCTTCTCAAAGTTATCGATTTTTTCATCTACGAACCAAAATTATACCGTGGCCTTGCGTCGGTAAAACGTGAGCGGGTACCGCGGCCGACATATTCGATGGAGGTATCATTTTCGCTAAATCAAGTAGACCTGATATATCCTTTTCGCGCTCTTCTACGTAGAGTTGATGGAATTACGATTTTGTAATGAGGAAACACTGATTGGCTCTCATTTTGTGTGGTTTATCTCCGCTACCCAGGAAATCCTCCTGGGTCCAGACATTAGATTTGCATACATATAAACAAATGTAAGACGTCGGTGATACCGAAAAATGGTTGTTAATATTCAAGACAGATTTTTGCGTGCGAGCGTTTTTGGCGCATTTTTATTGATGTTAGTGAGTTGCTGCCAACAGGTCCTCGAAATGTCTTTGATATATTTTACGATTAATAATTATATCGTTATTTCCGCTAATGATAAATTTATAAAAATAAAAAAAAAATAATTCGAGCATAAGGACATTTTTTTCGGCAGCCCGCATCCCGTGTACTGGTGTCGTCAAACTAGAGACTGGTTCATTATCATAAATGTCTCTAGGGAAAAGAAGTTTATCTCAGATAGTTCGTGTAAGACTTTGCAAATGTCTAATAGAGACTGCGTTTGGTGTAAGAAACGTTCGCGCGAACATCTGATTCTAGTTCGCTTAAGCAACTGGAGGAGGTTGGCAATGCCATGAGAAACGTACCTCGCGAGTTACGACAAATACTAAATTGATTCCTTAGAGTGTCTTTCTCATTTGTTTAGCAATGCTACAGGCAAATAGCACTATGCCCACCTCACACTACGGTTCGTGCCACTGGCACGGAAGCTGAAATCGATCCCCATGTGTAAATACGAGGGCTTAAAGTAGGCACCGTCTGCGCTAGATAAGTCAATCTTCTCGCAGCGTCATCAAGTGACTTGTTTTTTCGTCGTTTGCAATTTACCTAGCGCCAGCACAGAGAGAGACAAACGACGGTGGCACGAGCAGCAAGATACTTGCCGGAAATTAGCGATCAAATAATCTATAGAACTGTGAGTTTGAAATAGTATTGGCAATATATAACGTTTTTCCCTGCTTTTTGTCTCTTTCCTCTCTCCGGTTCGCTGCGCTTATCGTCACTCTCATCAATCGATGGGTGACTGACTGTGTGTATTCCTTCTATATGATGACCGAATAATTTCACGCTCGTACACACTCTACACTACACACTAAGCCAAGGCATGAATTATCTAAATAATTTCCTTTCATGACCAACGAAGAAGAAACACACGACGAAGTCGGCAAATCCGAAGCATACGAGGTCGCCGGACGACGAAGCACCGCGGCTAAAAATTCGCGGCATCGGTACTGCCCCAGCCATTCGGATTGACTCGACTCACCCCACCAATTGAGAGTTCACCCATCGCACGTTGACTTTTGCCTAGCAGTCACATTAGTTGGTAGAAAAATCAACCCTATAATAAAGTGATCCGAACAAATAAAAAAAAAGTACGTCTATTTCAGAGCATCTCACCTATCCAATAGTAACACTTGTTGTAATGGACAATATTGGTACCTGTCCATATGTTTGTATATGTGTGTTTGTGCGCCCGTTCGTGTCGGGTGTACAATGTATATCTATAGGTAGCAGCAAGAATTACCTATAATTTTCTTCCACTCTTCTACTTCGTTCTCTCATCCATCTTCAACTGATTTAGCTAGAAAATACATCGACGATAGTAAATAGCCAATGGCATAAGTATGCGCGCCGACGGCGGCGGCGAGCGTGAAGACCGATACTTGTTCTTCACGGCAGGCTTGACAGGCTTCTGGGCCGCAGGCTCGGTGGACAAATTATTATTGATCAAATATTGCATTAAAATTGCTTCGGCCGGAGATCGACGTGAGAAAGATGTCTCGTTTACTTAACAAGTCGGGCACGGTAAGCGAAAGGGTCGCTGTTGCTTTGTTTGTAGTGAGTGACGTGTACGCTCGTGTGTTATCTCCGTCTCATCATCATCTTCTCTCGTTTCCGACACTGAAGCTTCTGAAGTGGAAACTTCTGTGCCTTTGCTGTTGGCTTTGGTAGAATGTTTTTCTTTGGTTGATTGTATGCGCTTAGCTCTCGTAAAGGTCAATTGCCGCTGTTGGGGTAACAAAAACGTTTTGCAGAGATTATCCGTCACAAGTGGTCTCTATAAGCATGCGTTTTAAGGGACTAGTCATTGGCGTTGCTGTTCCTTTTGGCGGAATGACGACCCTTTGACGAATATCAATTGGCGTTTTAATTAGATCGTTTTAAGATAAGCAGAGCCGTTCTGGTAGGCTTACGTCGCTCTCCTCATCCGAAGTAACCACTTGAAAATCAGTGAATAAGCAAGCATTGCTAAAATATCCCTTGTAGGATGCAGCTTTTTGCTAATTTTTTCGACGGTAACACTACCGCGCAGCTCGGACATGTATCTATCAAAGAAGTTGGTATGGAATATGCTGAAATTTTCTTTGTGAGAGTGTCTATCGGTAACGCTTACCGGATACTCAAGATCGCCATAGATGTTCTGTTCTTTGCCAATCTTTCCTTCTTGGTCGGTCTGGCGGCAATGCGATTTCAGCCAGTCGGTGCCTCGAAAATCAGCACTCGAAAGCGTCCTATAAAATAGTAGGAGCAGAGACGGTAATAGCCAGACCATCAGCGAATATAGGATAACTATCTATAAAAGTACACAGTAATATAGCTGCACCCGCCTGTTATCAACATCGGCGGCAGCGGCGGTGCCACACCGCCGACAGAAGCCATAACGGCTACGATAAACTGGTCAGAGGTCGTGCCGTTTTCCACTTCTGAAAGTACGTCGTCCACTGTTCCTACTACAGTAATCATTCACATCGCAGACGTAACGCCCGCGTGCGCTGCATGCAGCTCACATTTACAGTTAGAAATCGTAGTTGTATACGTTACGCAGCCATCGTAGCGGATCACAGCCGAGCTCACAATAGCGACAGCAACGAAACATAATGGCAAGAAGACCGCGAACGCTATAGTGGTGTTTAACCTAAGGGGTATTATAGCAACTAAAGAAAGGCTGGCCGCGTGTGCTAGCTGGAACGAGCCACGACCTCTGACACGATGTATATACATATATATATATATATATACATAGACATCGAGGCTCTGGCCGGCCAGGGCAGTCATCTACCCTTTACACAATTACAGTAGTGATGTATCTTCTGCTACTGCTACTAGCGCTAGCAATTTTTACGTTTCTACTGTGGCCGAACGTTAACCGCGTCGAGCGAGACGCAGCGTGCCACGCGGACGAATCGAAGAGGATCTCGTCTTAACTCGTACAGATGAAAGAACGAATGGCCGACGAGCAGACGATCAAGACGCGCCATTATAAGACGATAGATACGGATCCAAGTTTGAAAACGTATATTGAACGATATCGACACACACAGCCATGCACATACGTCAAGCAGAAGCGTTGACCATGATCAATGTATTGAAAAGGACCGCGTGATCGATAAGCGGCAACGAGAGGCTCTCATTCGTTTAATGGACACGAAGTGAATTATTAGTAAATTTACGGATAAACGTATTGTTTAGCCACTCTTTGCCCTGTAGCTTTTGGCGCTACCGCAACCGTTCGTCGTCTACGTAAGGGAGAAAAGCGTAACGTGTATGTTCTACAAGCCCATTTTCCTTGGGGAACGTATGAGACACTGAAGATGAAATGACGGCGGTGGTTGGTAGTGCTACCAATCTCGCGCAGGTAAGCACCAAATTCTCTATTTGGAGAAAATGCACACAGATCGATGTATATAATTAGCTGTTAGATTTGGTACCGGCTTATCTAACAGCACTCCAGTGTATTTCGTGATGGTGACAGTGGTTGCAACCGGCTAAATAACCCGCGGAAGTGTATTTCGAAAACCATTACAAGCAATACGTTCCCCTTTCACAAAGGTGTCGTACTGTATAGTCGCAACACGACGCAGATCAGTAGCTAACGGCTAAATTAACTTTTGCGGCCAATGTAACGTCTGTATAACTTCAGTGCCTCGATATGATTTCCTTGATGCAATGAAATGTCAGCGATGAAGACGATATGATGCAATGACTCGCACAGCAGAATCTCTATCCGACAGAGAACAAGGGGTCGTTGCTTTCAATTTCAGCAACGACACATACTACGAGATTTGTGTAAACAAGTTATGCATGGAATACAGACTCTCTACGGTTGAATGAGAATTAGAGAAAAAAAAAAGAAGACAATTATGGATTGTAGCTATTCCAATTTGCCGCACTGCCACCCATGAAAAAAATCCGGGTTTTAATTCACCACCTACTCAACACTGCTCCAACGAAATACGGCAAAATCTGAGCCGTACATACTTCACCTGCCTGACCTATAATCTGAACACGAGGCCCTCGTTTAAGAGCTAGTCGCCTTTTTAAGTTAAACAATGCAAACCTCCATATTGCAGACGATTACCAGCCACTGAGTGACGAGTAAGCGCCATCTGGCGCGCTCGCTCGTGATATGTAATTGTCATATAGACATATATGACGCGCAGATTACTGCACAGTGAAGGCAGAACTTCTTTCAGATAACGTTATTCGATTTGATGGTCAAAGTCGAACCAATGTCGATGGTATGGTGTTCTTCTAGACATCACCATAGCGCTGATCATATTGAAGATGAAATGTTCACATAGGTTCAATGCTGATGTGGGCGACTACACGATGTCGTCACGCTTACAAAGGCTTGTGTATATCTAAGTCGTCTAATTCACCAGCCTTGACTCTGTAGTCTTCCGATCTTCATCCGCTCATATAGGGTCGTCTCATTTCACGCTGTCAATTTCTATATTATTCATTTTTTTCGGAATAGTCCACAGTTCATGAGCGAGACAACGGCCGATGAGACCAGCGATCCATCCATCCATCATTTAATAGGAACATCGTGTTCCGGGAATTGTCACCAAGGGATGTTCAACGCGACCACGTGCAAACGAACGATCAGAAAACTCTAGCCCGTTGAAATGGCTACGGCGACAAGAAACTGTGCGGGGAAATGTGGTGAAGGGAGAACGAGAAGAGCTCCATTCAAGGGGTCACTTGACGCAGTTGAGGTGTCAATGATTATTGTGTTCCTGCGAGAAGTTTTGTGATATATTCGTTTGCAACGCAAATTGAGGACATATTCGTAGTTACTAGATCCTTTTTGACTTATAATAGGAGTAGATGTGCCGAAGAGAGGTGCGCTGTAGGATATAATGACAATAATTATTATTATAGCCTAATCGCATACGTAATTGAAGCATTTGCT